CTTACAAAAAAGTATATAATATGTGTCCTTCATAACCCAAAGAAATTGCTCTTGGATCTATTAACAAAATAGTTCATCATATTATATTTGGTTCTAATTTTTACTATTATTAATAGACCATACAATGTTTTTCTGGGTTGGACATAGGATTATCATGTCCATTGGAAGCCTAGCCCTTAGTTCTCCNGAAACTTTTTTTTCTAATTGTCATTCTATCTTGGCTAATGATTCCTTGAGTCATATCTTAGAAGATTACATAGAACATTCTCCCATTATTTAGTAAGGGTGATAGATTCCATGTTGTACACTCATAAGTCTCTATGCATTTTTAACTATGTTCAACAATACATATCCAAGTTACATGTTAGTATATGAATATGTTATACAGTTAAAGTATAAAAGTCCATACACATAACAAAAATCTTACGTTAGTCAATGGTCACGTTTAGTGTACTTGTTCTCTAACAAGTACCCATACACCTGTTTCAGTGTCCGTACACTAGTGACTTGAAAGAGTCACCTCATATCAAATATGATTAAATATAGTGTATATTAGTCTATCTAGATTACATAGTACCCACATAATAATCTTATAACTAGAAACATTTAAGAGTTATGTATTAAAAAGTATAGATCTCATCTTCTTAACTCCTTGAGAAATCATCTTCTTAACTTATACTCTGTGGACTATATCATGTATATTAAAATGAAATAAAGTAAAAACATGATAAATAAACTTGCCCTTTTATTTAATTAAGTAATGAATGTTGCTAGTACAACTCCAAAACATTATCTATATGATTGCTCTTAGAGCATACTATTAACAATCTCCCACTTGTACTAATATCAATTGATCATGTATTTAATACTCATCTTCTAAAAGATGTCTATCTTGCTGTTGTTATCTTAGTGCCTTCATAAGTGGGCCCGCTATGTTATCCATTGATGCAATCTTCTAAATACACACATCACCTGTTCCAATGATATTTCAGATCATATTGAAATGTCATTATAAGAGTTTGGGCATTATAAGAGTTTGGGCTTCTGATGAGACTTTGGTTCCTTGGCTTGAACTATCGCCCCTTTGTCATCACTATACAATAGTGTATGTGACTCAATGATAGGAACTAATTTGAGTTCATTAATGAACTTCTTAATCCAAACAACTTCTTTGACATCTTTTGAGACGACAACTTACTCAATAATAGTAGTGGAATTCACTGCAATATCTCATTTACAACTCCTCCAACTCACTACACCATTATTTAAGATGGACACAAATCCAAAAGTAGATTTTTTTTTATCTACATTAGACTAAAAGTTTAAGTCCATATATCCATCCACACATAGCTCTCATTCTCCATAGACAAGAAATGCATCCTTAGTTTTTCTCAAGTACTTAAGAATGTTTTGACTACATTCCAATGTTTCAAACTTGAAATTTGATTGATATCTGCTTATAACACTAGNTAGTGACTTGAAAGAGTCACCTCATATCAAATATGATTAAATATAGTGTATATTAGTCTATCTAGATTACATAGTACCCACATAATAATCTTATAACTAGAAACATTTAAGAGTTATGTATTAAAAAGTATAGATCTCATCTTCTTAACTCCTTGAGAAATCATCTTCTTAACTTATACTCTGTGGACTATATCATGTATATTAAAATGAAATAAAGTAAAAACATGATAAATAAACTTGCCCTTTTATTTAATTAAGTAATGAATGTTGCTAGTACAACTCCAAAACATTATCTATATGATTGCTCTTAGAGCATACTATTAACAATCTCCCACTTGTACTAATACCAATTGATCATGTATTTAATACTCATCTTCTAAAAGATGTCTATCTTGCTGTTGTTATCTTAGTGCCTTCATAAGTGGGCCCGCTATGTTATCCATTGATGCAATCTTCTAAATACACACATCACCTGTTCCAATGATATTTTAGATCATATTGAAATGTCATTATAAGAGTTTGGGCTTCTGATGAGACTTTGGTTCCTTGGCTTGAACTATCGCCCCTTTGTCATCACTGTACAATAGTGTATGTGACTCAATGATAGGAACTAATTTGAGTTCATTAATGAACTTCTTAATCCAAACAACTTCTTTGACATCTTTTGAGACGACAACTTACTCAATAATAGTAGTGGAATTCACTGCAATATCTCATTTACAACTCCTCCAACTCACTACACCATTATTTAAGATGGACACAAATCCAAAAGTAGATTTTTTTTTATCTACATTAGACTAAAAGTTTAAGTCCATATATCCATCCACACATAGCTCTCATTCTCCATAGACAAGAAATGCATCCTTAGTTTTTCTCAAGTACTTAAGAATGTTTTGACTACATTCCAATGTTTCAAACTTGAAATTTGATTGATATCTGCTTATAACACTTGTAACTATGAATCTTAATTTCAATGGATCAAAATTTGTGGGATAGATGAGAGAGAGAAGTAATGGAAGGAGAGAGAAATAATGGAATGGAAGATAGATGAGAGAGCAATTAAAGAAGAGAGGAGAGAAAAATAGTTAGATGGATAAATTAAAGGAGGAGATAGGAGAGATAAATTAAAGAAAGAGAGAGCAATCTTAAAAAGATATGCTTGATCTATTGAAGGTCAACATAGGAAATAAATAAAAAAAAAAAAAGTAAAGGGACTATTGAACCTACTTACAAAAAAGTATATAATATGTGTCCTTCATAACCCAAAGAAATTGCTCTTGGATCTATTAACAAAATAGTTCATCATATTATATTTGGTTCTAATTTTTACTATTATTAATAGACCATACAATGTTTTTCTGGGTTGGACATAGGATTATCATGTCCATTGGAAGCCTAGCCCTTAGTTCTCCATAGGGTCTCTATTGTAGCCTAAAAATAAATGTATTCTCTAGTTCTCTCAGCCATAACTTTTACCTTCATGTTTAGAAAAGACAGAGAGAAAGCAAGGAAAAGAATTCGGAGGTTTATAGCTTACACTACATTCGAATTTTGGCGTAGAAAGATATACAGTAGAAGATCGTGAAGTCTATTGAGCATGCTGTTCTATCTGCATCTGTTCTTCATTCATAAGGATCTACTCGTCAAATATAAGCCCTAATTCCGTCTTGTAAAGTTAATAAACGAGAAAGTTTTTTGTATTTGATTATACACACTGTCAACGAAAACTGAGACTACCATTCTAGCAATCCACACTAAAGCTATCTCTTTTACCACGTGTTGTGATTTGGCCCAAAGCTAATTTTTGTGTGTCTAAACAATTTAGGGTTAATTGCAAGTGGTACCTCAAAAGATCGTTCGAATCTCAATTTACACCCTCAAAAATTAAAAATCTCAATTTACACCCTCAAAGATAGAAATTTGTATTAATGTGTACCCTTAAAGATAAAAAAAAATTTAATTTGTACCCTTAAAAATAAAAATTTGTATTAATGTGCACCTAAAACTAAATTGATAAATTATACCTAGAACCCCTCATGCTTGTCACTTAATCATTTGGACTCCTTCACATTTAGAATATTACTCCTACATCTCATGACGTTTGTGCATGTGTAACACGTAACTTCTTTTCGTTGATATCTGTTAATATAATCGTTAAAAAATATGATTTTATCCTAATAAAAAATTATAATTTCATATTACCTTTTATTTTGGGGTCCAATATATTCTAAAGTTTAAAATCAAGTTTACCATTTGAATGTCTAGAATGTAGAAATTTATATAATATTTTTTTTATCCAATGCAATATATCATTCAATGTGCAACCCTTTATTCTATTAGACATTCAAATAGTAAAATTAATTTTGAACTTTAGAGTATAAGGGTTACATGTTACACGTGCACAAACGTCATGAGATATATGAGTAATATTTTAAATGTGAAGGGGTTCAAATGATTAAATGACAAACATAAGGGGATCTAAGTATAATTTATCAATATAGTTTTAGGCAGGAAACTGACGACGTTTAGTTTCTTAGGGGTACACAATGATACAATTTTTTATCTTTGTGGGTGTAAATTGAGATTCGAATGTTCTTTCGAGGTATTATTTACAATTAATCCAACAATTTATTGCCTATTGGACCCGTTAATATATGAGGAAGTGTTATGGATCCTTAAGCTATGAATCTTAATTTCAACATGTCCAAATTTATGGGCTATCTCTATTTCTACTCCAATGACTCAATTAAGTTATCGAATCAATATTTTTTTTAAATTTGATCATTAAGACATAAATTAATATTTTTTAACGATATCAAAGGTCGATTATACTATTATATATTCTAAAGTTTTAGATTTGGACATAACAAACTTTGATTTGATTATGATTGAATTTGATATGTACAAACACATACACACAAATATAATTTGTGTAACTATATTGGGATATTAAATGGTATAATTCTTTCATTTATGTAAATAACTGAATGACAAATTGAGTTAATATTATAATTTTGTATAATTGTTTGATGTATTATAAGGTAATTGTAACTAATTCGTGTAATTGTATTTTTGAAACGTTGATATAAATAAAAGATAAAAAAAAATATGGGAGAGAGATAAAAATTAAATCAAATTTTTATATATTTAAAAATAAATAAATTATCAATGAAAGATACAGAGAGAAAATAGAGGAGAGATAGGGAGAGAGAGAGTGAGATTGAGAGAATTAAAATAATGCATAAATTAAGGAATGATAAGTAAGCAAAAAAATTCAAATGTCATTTGAATTTTATACCTAATCACAAGATATTTTATTAAAATTGAACTTAATAGAGTAAAATATTTATCCGTACACTTCTTCTCAAATAAATCTAAAAAAATTGTACCCACACATAAAACGCCATTGATATTTATTAAAAGAGGCCAGGCCCACTGCCTTGCCTAGTCCACTCCTCCATATGAGCCCAAAAGTTTCCATACCACATACTAAGCCACTGATCACACTATGCTTTTCTCTAAGAATTCTTTCAAGCAATAGACCATTCTGTTTCAAGCTCAGATTTCAGCTCCAAAACCTCATTCTCTGGCACTGTTATGGTCACAATCCGTCCTGCACTACCATCCTTGCCTGCATTTATCGGTCCCGGTTGCACCAAAACCAACCCCTCGTCGCCTACACCATCAATGGTATAGCTCACAAAGATAGGTTTTTCTCCCTTCATTTCGAATCCATAAAAATCTGCCTCCTCTAAATTCACGAAAGTCAAGTTTGCCCCGTACATGATAAAATCGGACAATCCACGATCTCTCTCCATTGCTTCTTGAATCTTTTTCCGCTCGTCGACAGCTTGATTTTTTATCAATGCAGCTAGTTCCATAGGGTCTGCATCCCTTATGGAATAACCCGCCATAACCGAGCTTATAACTTGACTGTTGCTCACAATTCCATATTTCTGCATATTTGGATCCTTCCGGTAAATTGTCACTACTTTGGGCTCAGTCCCATCTCTAACCTTGGCAACACTTTGCCAAATGATAGCACAAAGAGAGTCAAATGGTGAAATTCCACTACTGCCCTTCTTGCCGCTTATATTAGAATGTAAGTCGTTCAATTGTGAGGGACTAACGTGGAATGAAAATGTTTCCATTTTGCAGGCATTAGTAGTGATCCAGTGATCTCCAATTGGGCCCACTCGTTTCACAGAAATCAATTCCTGATCAATTTTGGGCGGGCTTTGAGAATCTGGACTCTTGATGACTGGTTGGGCTAAGTTGATGGGCTGGGCTAGCTGATGACCCGCGGCCACTTTACTCCACGTGTCCATGAATTCTGCAACTGAGAACGCATCTCCAAGAACATGGGCCCAACTTAGGCCCACTGACGTTCCGCCACACTTAAACCTCGTGAGCTGCATTCAGGTCCAAGAAATACAAATCATGGAAATCTATATAATAAAACATAGCGATTTTTAAAGCATATTTCTCATAATTCAACGATCTCAGATTAACCCAAAAGCGATCGAATGGTCAAAAATAATCTAGACTAGATATATAACTATCAAAAATCATTACACATTAGTATAGCCCATAAAATCTCTAATATAAAATAAGGCATGTTTCAATAAGTCCATCTGACGGTGTTAAATAAACTCATATAACACCCACCAACATTCCTCTCAAAATCATTCACATTGTACCGTACTTTTAGGTACACGTTATTACTAGTATATGTACAAAACAGATCAAGTGAAAAGTTAATTACGATCAAGAGAGGAACACACAACCCCGCTTTATGTTAGCATATAGTAATAGACTAATAGATCAAGGGAGAAGACAGCGGTATCATAAAAAAAAAATTGGTACCGTACCATCAAAGTTCATAGGTTTTTGGGTTTGCTTATAATAAAAAAACAATTACAACTTTGTAGGTTATATATAACTTTTATAGTGTAAGAAACAACTTTTGTGGGGTTATTTACAATTTTTGTAGGTTATTTGTGATTGACCCTAAAATTTTAAGATCAATTACAACTTACCCTCAAAAGTTATAAATTATTCTAAGAAATTATAAATAATTCACAAAAATTATAAATAATTCACAAAGTTTGAAAAAGAAATCAAGAAAATTAGTAAATGTCGGTATGGTACTGAAAAAAATACTACTCCTAGACCAAGAGGTGTCAATGCCACAAAGGTGGCTGACATGAATTTCTTTATGGTATCAAAATATTAGTATTGTAGTTATATTTTTCATCTAATTAAAACATTCCAAGGATAAAGGTTTTATATTTTTATTATCTTTAATACTTTCTTATTTTATAGTTTATCCAATTCAAAATTAATGACTAAGATAGATGGAGTTATGATATCGAACTCAATAAGATAATCTTACCCACTACAAATAAATATATAGTAAGGAGACATCCAAGTGTTTCTCTTGTTTTCTTAGTACCTTTAGGACTTATTTGGATGAACTTTTGGAAAGAATTTGGATTAGCTTCCCCAAACCATTCCAAATGCAAACCCTTCTTTAAAAGAATAAAATTTAACATTAAATCCGGTCTATATCTATGTTAAATATGCAATACATACACATGTAAAATTTACGAATATATCATAATTATTAATAACTATTTGTCCTATAAATGACTATTTTACTCTTAATCAATTCAATTCATACTCATGTTAAATGGTACAATTGTCATTTGCATCCTTAACTCATCTTCCCAAATCTACCTCTCCTAGATTTGACGAAACCCGTTATCATTGATTTGATCTTTGGGCCAGCTACAGACCGAATTTTAAAATTCGGGATTAAATTTTGAATCCAAACATAAGATTTGAAGGTCTTTTGAATTATTTTTCTCAAACTTATCTCACCAAGTCCCCTCATACTCTCTTACTAAACAACCCTTTAAAGTCTAGATACCTATAATATATAAAAAGTGGAATTAAAGTTGTTTTTTTTACAACTTACAGAGATAAATACATGATAAGCCATTCCACCGCGAAAGACATTCNCCTCCTCTAAATTCACGAAAGTCAAGTTTGCCCCGTACATGATAAAATCGGACAATCCACGATCTCTCTCCATTGCTTCTTGAATCTTTTTCCGCTCGTCGACAGCTTGATTTTTTATCAATGCAGCTAGTTCCATAGGGTCTGCATCCCTTATGGAATAACCCGCCATAACCGAGCTTATAACTTGACTGTTGCTCACAATTCCATATTTCTGCATATTTGGATCCTTCCGGTAAATTGTCACTACTTTGGGCTCAGTCCCATCTCTAACCTTGGCAACACTTTGCCAAATGATAGCACAAAGAGAGTCAAATGGTGAAATTCCACTACTGCCCTTCTTGCCGCTTATATTAGAATGTAAGTCGTTCAATTGTGAGGGACTAACGTGGAATGAAAATGTTTCCATTTTGCAGGCATTAGTAGTGATCCAGTGATCTCCAATTGGGCCCACTCGTTTCACAGAAATCAATTCCTGATCAATTTTGGGCGGGCTTTGAGAATCTGGACTCTTGATGACTGGTTGGGCTAAGTTGATGGGCTGGGCTAGCTGATGACCCGCGGCCACTTTACTCCACGTGTCCATGAATTCTGCAACTGAGAACGCATCTCCAAGAACATGGGCCCAACTTAGGCCCACTGACGTTCCGCCACACTTAAACCTCGTGAGCTGCATTCAGGTCCAAGAAATACAAATCATGGAAATCTATATAATAAAACATAGCGATTTTTAAAGCATATTTCTCATAATTCAACGATCTCAGATTAACCCAAAAGCGATCGAATGGTCAAAAATAATCTAGACTAGATATATAACTATCAAAAATCATTACACATTAGTATAGCCCATAAAATCTCTAATATAAAATAAGGCATGTTTCAATAAGTCCATCTGACGGTGTTAAATAAACTCATATAACACCCACCAACATCCTTCTCAAAATCATTCACATTGTACCGTACTTTTAGGTACACGTTATTACTAGTATATGTACAAAACAGATCAAGTGAAAAGTTAATTACGATCAAGAGAGGAACACACAACCCCGCTTTATGTTAGCATATAGTAATAGACTAATAGATCAAGGGAGAAGACAGCGGTATCATAAAAAAAAAATTGGTACCGTACCATCAAAGTTCATAGGTTTTTGGGTTTGCTTATAATAAAAAAACAATTACAACTTTGTAGGTTATATATAACTTTTATAGTGTAAGAAACAACTTTTGTGGGGTTATTTACAATTTTTGTAGGTTATTTGTGATTGACCCTAAAATTTTAAGATCAATTACAACTTACCCTCAAAAGTTATAAATTATTCTAAGAAATTATAAATAATTCACAAAAATTATAAATAATTCACAAAGTTTGAAAAAGAAATCAAGAAAATTAGTAAATGTCGGTATGGTACTGAAAAAAATACTACTCCTAGACCAAGAGGTGTCAATGCCACAAAGGTGGCTGACATGAATTTCTTTATGGTATCAAAATATTAGTATTGTAGTTATATTTTTCATCTAATTAAAACATTCCAAGGATAAAGGTTTTATATTTTTATTATCTTTAATACTTTCTTATTTTATAGTTTATCCAATTCAAAATTAATGACTAAGATAGATGGAGTTATGATATCGAACTCAATAAGATAATCTTACCCACTACAAATAAATATATAGTAAGGAGACATCCAAGTGTTTCTCTTGTTTTCTTAGTACCTTTAGGACTTATTTGGATGAACTTTTGGAAAGAATTTGGATTAGCTTCCCCAAACCATTCCAAATGCAAACCCTTCTTTAAAAGAATAAAATTTAACATTAAATCCGGTCTATATCCATGTTAAATATGCAATACATACACATGTAAAATTTACGAATATATCATAATTATTAATAACTATTTGTCCTATAAATGACTATTTTACTCTTAATCAATTCAATTCATACTCATGTTAAATGGTACAATTGTCATTTGCATCCTTAACTCATCTTCCCAAATCTACCTCTCCTAGATTTGACGAAACCCGTTATCATTGATTTGATCTTTGGGCCAGCTACAGACCGAATTTTAAAATTCGGGATTAAATTTTGAATCCAAACATAAGATTTGAAGGTCTTTTGAATTATTTTTCTCAAACTTATCTCACCAAGTCCCCTCATACTCTCTTACTAAACAACCCTTTAAAGTCTAGATACCTATAATATATAAAAAGTGGAATTAAAGTTGTTTTTTTTACAACTTACAGAGATAAATACATGATAAGCCATTCCACCGCGAAAGACATTCTATCCGATAAGACATAAACTTTGAATCGGATTTTAGTTGTTAACGAATTGTAGAATGTAGAGGATTTAGGCTATAATAATTGGGTTATTCTCTCATTAATATGTGGACAAAGAGTTAGGTGGCACAAGTCTCCAGGAAAAAAATGTCACTATCCAGACCCAAAATTCTACGCTCATGGTCATGGAGTGGGCATCACTCACTCCCCTTGGCAACTTAAAAAAAAATAGGTGGCATTCCTTTAATGAAAATGGACAATATTTATAGTTAATGACCAGTTGACACCGACAGTTGCAAAGTCTCAAACACACTATTTTTGTATATATATTTTTTTATCTTTTTTATGGTCCAATAGTCTTGTCCCATCAGAGTAACTTGGTGAAAGGTTGTCAAATTGCTCAGTTCGTGATGTCTTGTAGTGTTTCTACTGGTGGCGGAGTCAGAAATTTGTTTTCGTGTGGACATATTTAACCTACAAAAATTATTATTTTTTTTAATTAATAAAAGTGTTGTAATACATGTGTCTTTTTTTTTTTCCCCTATATGGTATTGTATATTTAAATATTCATTAAATGTAAAAAAATCAAATACCAATTTTCGTAATCTATACAAATAATATCCGATTAAAAAAAAACTAATTACAACCATTTGCAAAAAAATGAGGTTACTTATAGTAATATAAATTTAGACCCAGACAATTTTTCATACTTTGAAAAGATTGTATAATAACATTATTAATAATATTATCGAAAATATATTTCTTAATATAAGCAATTAAGTTAATAGTAATCAATCTTAGACTAAGTCACATCAATTTTAAAAAATTAAAGCAATTTCAAACGAAAGTTAAATAACGTTTACTAAATAAGTCGAGCATATCAACTTGTTTATAATTAAAAATTTTAAAACAAAAATTATACTCATTAACTTCTGTGAAATTTATATCGGCTTGTTCTTGATTCAAATAGAGATAATTGAGTTTGTTTCGTAAAGACTTTGTCTTATTAAAATTAAGAGTTCAAGTTCTCTCCTTTTTTAAAAGGACCAAAAAAAAAAAAGATGACTATTAGAAGCATAAAAAAGTGTTAGTTATTGTAGATACAGAGAAACTGTACGAGGCTGGCTATATGACTTTGTGGTTGCATCCACTCAGTCGAATGGGACCCCATGAGTGGCTTTAAGGCACTATTCCAAGATGGATGTATGTACCACACACTTCTGACTTCTGAGAGAGAAATATNGGGACCCCATGAGTGGCTTTAAGGCACTATTCCAAGATGGATGTATGTACCACACACTTCAGACTTCTGAGAGAGAAATACAACTATCCAGGAACAGGAGAAAATAGTAACGGTAAATTCTCGAGATTATAGGGATAAGTCTAAACGTAAATGTCTTGAATTTAAATTTTAATTATTTGAATTATAAATTTAAATAATAATAGGGATGAGTTATAAACTTAAACATCCTGAATTTAAATCCTAATAATTTTTTAGGGTCAAGTCACGAGAAATATATATTTCATAGATACCCTAATTTCGGCATAGATGATCTATCTTTGACCGAATAAAAAAGAAAATTAATTAAAGTGCACATAAACTAACTCAGACATCCTAACCGTTGAAACTGAAAAAAAAAAATACCAATTGTAATGATACACCCACTCTTACCGTCACTTGGTATCACACACCAATTACAAATAAATATGACTAATGAATTCTACTAAATTTTTTAACGACTAATATCTATTATATTCAATAATTAGTCATTGTCCGTATCTGAAGGCACTATATAACAAACAAAAAAATCTTAAATAATTCCCCAAATTCAAAAGGAATGACATAAAAACATTCATACAAATTCTTCTTCTAAAATGACTCGAAATATATCGTCGACCATATTCTCTATATTAATGAAACTGTTATAAAAATATATGAAAACTCCTTAAAACAACACCATATATACAAATGCCTCCAAAAAAACAAATACTAACATAACTCATTGAAATTTACAATCTTTAAATAATAAATAAAATCTTGCTTATATATAAGACACACGAATTTATCATATCTACCACCACTCAATCCAATAACAGAAGATAATTATATACTCAACCACCATATTTTCAATCCACCATATTGCCCATGTAATAAATATCTTAAACAAAAAAAAAATACTGACAGAACAAAATTAAATTCACAATCTTTAAAAAATAAATAAAATCAACCAAATTGTGCTAATTTATAAAACTCACGAATTTATCATCACTATCACTATTCAACTCCAAATGACACAATATAATTATAAATTTAATTGTCAAATGTCCAAGCCTCCACATATTAATACACAAAAACACACTCACACATTTCTTTTTTGGCTACCAACAAACCTTCCTAACCAATAATTGTTTTTATTAGAAATACAATAGTTTAAATTTTTAAGATAAAATAATAATAAATTAATATCTAATTAAAAAATAGGGTAAAAAATATGAACATCCTCTGAGTTTTGACAATATTATATGGACACTCCCTGACATTTTATAAATAACACAGAGACCTCCTGAGATTTGAAATTTATTGCACAGAGATTCCTATGTCTGCATTTTGTCAATGTTGCTAATGAAAAAGTGATGATTTCATCCCAATTTTTTTTATTATTTTTACAATTGCCTTTCTCTAAGTTTAGTACCCAAAAAAATTAAAAATTTAATAAAACAAAATAATATTTGATTTAGTAGCAAAAAAAATGATATAATGTAGTACCCCAAAAAATTGATTAATTGAATTTTAATATTAATTTGATAACAAAAAAAATTAATTTAACAAGAATAAAAATTAATTTTATATTAATTCGACAAAGTTGAATATAAATTGGACAAAATTAAATGTTAATTTTTAATAAATTAATATATTAATTTACAATCTAAGGTTCATTTCGTTTTGAATATTATTTGATGTTGATTAAACATACATGAAATTGACCTTAAATTATAATTTTTTTTGTTGTATATAAACTTAAAATTTTATATTTTAAATCATAAAATTTAAATACATATTTTTTTATAGCATATCGTCTTCCCTTTTACTATATCATTTGATAAATTTTTTTTTGGTTAAGATTCAACCACACATACTTAAATAAAATCAATTGTTCACCCCCCCTCTCACTTTTTTTTTTTAAGAGAATCGCTCACCTCCACTTGATAAACCCAAAAATCTATAGTTCACATGAAAATACATGAAAATAAATTAAAAAGTTGACAAAAAAATTTGATAGTTTGAAAAAATTTTAAAAATTTAGTACAAAAAAAATTGATAATATTGTCAAAAATATAATTTAAGGTCAATTCCGTGTTTATTTGATCAATAATAAATAATATTTAATTTTTCCAAATT